GTCTGTGAATTTTTATTATTATTATTTGTTTGTGACTAAAAAATCAACAACCTCTGTGGCCGCTGCGACACACCGACTCAGTACTGTGTGCCAAAACCGTGCATTGGTATTGGTCACTGTACTGAACATATGCTAAGGATGCAGTCTTTTTTGAAGCATATTGGTCACGAAGTTTCTGCTTTAGCTTTTTGTGTAGTTCAAGGCCCTGCTGGTATTTGACGTTTTTTGCCTTGAAAGGGAACCGAAACAATTTTGGCGGCTCATATTTGTAGCCTGTGGTGATCGTTGGCTCGTCGATGTCGTTATTGTCATTGCGGATTATGATCATTTCATCGTTGCTCTTTTCTAGTTTTGGCTCGTCGCTGTCGTTGCTGATTATGATGATTTCATTGTTGTTCTTTTCTAGTTTTGGCTTTTTGCTTAAGAACGCCTCTTTAATCGTCATTTGCCTCTTTCGCGATCCTGTTGTTAAGCTCTTAGGTTTTTGCTTCAATGTTGGCTGCATCATCAATATTAGAGTGGTTCGATTTTTGCGAAAATTCAGAAGGGATACTGGCTATAGTTATAAGTTATGGAAAAATATGTAAGATTTATGAATATGACGTTCTTTTGACATAATTGATGTCACAGACCTAGCGCCTCGAGGGGTCCATTTTTTGAAATCTGACCAAAAATTTCAATTTTTTAAAAATGTTCAACACATTTTAAAAACATTTTTTTCTGGTTCGTAACGCTGTTAATTAAGTGAAATAGACCACCAAAAGCCATTAAAGAGCAGACAATATATTGGGCTGAATATTCATTTGAAATGAAACGAAATAGCACGCTATTTTTGATAAAACAATATTGTCTGTTAAAGAGCTCCCGGACTTAGCTCTACCTGAAAATAGGGTCCGAACATGACTGAACATTTTTCAAAAAAAAATGACCAAACAAAACAAAATTTTAACTCATTGTTGAGATGGTCTGATTTTACCGAAATTGTCCGACTCACTCTGTTACCTTTTGAGAATGTCGAATAGAGAAATTTCAAAAAATGGACCCCTCGAGGATCTAGGTCTGTGACATCAATTATGTCAAAAAAACGTCATATTCGTAAATCTTACATATTTTTCCGTAACTTATAACTATAGCCAGTATCCCTTCTGAATTTTCACAAAAATCGAACCACCCTAATCAATATTGTTATTGACTCTACTCTGTTGCTGTGTGTTATCCAGTGTTGATGCTAAAAACCTAAAAAAAATTCCATCAACCACAGCATGATAACAATCTCACAGACTCCAATATCAGGGTAATCGTCAATATGTGTTTATTGTGTCAATAGCCAGTGAAACCAAATAATTTGTTAACGTGCAGAGTGCAAAAGAGAAAGGCAGAATACACTGTAAAATGTGACGTTGAAAAAGTCAAAACAAAGGCATAATGTGTGTTTAGGCTGCTGAATTGTCAAACTGGTTGCGTTTACAATACTTGAATCGCTTTAAACACCAGTGTTTGTCTCTGTTTCACACACATTATTCTAGTCTAGACAATGCAAAACAAACCTGCTTCGCAATTCAGTCCGCATAGCATTTTCAATGCATTTTTGCAAGCGGAGTGTCTACGACATGGATTTTTTTAGTTGAGTTTATTCAATTCTTTTCATTACAAATCAAAGTTTCATTCGGTAGATTTTTTTAATCCGTTGATTATTGCGTTATTAGTGTATTGTAATACAGTTTGTTGCGTTTTATTCTCGTTGTGTAAGACCTTTTGTCAACCAAATCAAAGTTTCAACAATAAATAACAAGAAATAATGGGTGGAATGTACAATTTGAGCAAATCGATCCGAAGAGGTCTTTTAAGTGGATTGATTTGTGGTGGTGCTGCTTTTGTTGGCGGTTTGATTGGAGGGCCGATTGGCATAGGACTTGGAAGTGCTATTGGTGGTGCAATTGGTGCTAGAATCATGAGTAAATAAGTTCAAAACACAATGAAAATTGTTCAGAATATTAAACATTTTTTTTTCGAATTTTTTATGTTTCATCAGGTTTTCGTTCGGCTCCAACAGTTCTTCGCGAAGATTTCAAGGAAAACGAGCGCCGTGAACTTCTTGAAAGGGGAAAAAGATTAGCATTCGATGCTAAAGAAGCTTTACTGAAAGTACTGCTTGAACTGATAACTGCACTAACAAAATGTCGATCATGGAGGGAAGCTGCTGAGGCTGTTTTGCATCCTCTTTTAAAAGAACTGACTGAAGTCACAATCAAATCATTTCTTCGATACCTAAGTGGATAATAGCTAAACTGTAATGTAACTCAGTTAATCTGAAATCGTTGTCAAAAAATGTGATGTTGTAGCTATTTTACAACGGTACTTTCATTGTTAAATTGTTATTGATTTCGTTATATATTTTATTGTAGCCAAATTATGCTGATTTCAATTCAATTCATGTCATACGTTATAAAAAAATATTTGTATAATTTTCATTTTTAATTTAAATATGCCTTAGTTTACAATTATGCAAATTTTGCAACATCAGCTAGATTTCAATAATATTAAACATGATATTAAATGTCGATTCAATTTATTATTCACAATCTTACGCAAGAATTGTCGTCTGTATTCGTTTTAAATGAAATTTCGTATGCTTGGTATTTAACTGTATCGAAACGAATTTTAAGATTTTATTGAAAACGAGTATGCATTGAAATGGATCCATAGATAATGTCTTACATGATTTAAATATGCTCAGTGAACAGTTACAAGTCTTAAAGTTACCGTATTCTGAACATTTTTATTATCAAAAAATAATCCATTTTCAAAGCGGAAAAGTTGTAAAATATGGCATATCCCAAATTCAGTTATAAGTCGAAGTTCAAAACATTACGTATTAATTAAATTTGCTAGCAAATGCTGTTTTATTTATTTACATACTACAATTACAAACAAAAAACCATATTTATTAAACATGATATTATGTGACTCATTTGAGTGGGTATTGCATTTTCGATGACAAAGCAAATAAAAGAAAAAAAATGTTTTTTTTTAAGAATTTAAAAAAAATTCAAATACTGAATTCATTTAACACAAATTCTCGAATTAACGATACTCAGCATTTACGTTGCTATTGACGAAAACCTTATGTTCATAAGGTAAAACAAACAGCGATATAATCGAGGTAATTACTGTGAAATTAATTAATAAATTGACAGAATATACTCATCGCTTATATTCGACAATGAAACGCTATGCCACCAAGTCTTATTTTACCATTTAAGAACCGCCGAATTATTTCTCTCATTCCAGCTATATAAATAAAAATGTGTATTTGTATTGATGAGTTTATAGATCTATCAAAACACTATCTAAAGTGTTTTGAGTTCTCTTTTTTCAGATTACTGTAATTGAGTTACCATTCAAATTCCAAGAGTTATAAAACAGTTGTTGACAAATATGAATTTTATTGTCACAATTTTTTTTTTAATTTTACGAAACTATACTCTTAACGTCACACAAATTTGATGTGTTTTTTATTGTTTGAACCATATACATACTCTCTATTCTTTTTCTTTTTCATATTTATCGCCTTTAATGATGTATTTATAATTACGATAACCGACTGGATCTTGAAATATGTTCATTATTGCGTCGTGAAATAAAGTTTGAATAATATCTGGAATTTTGGCAATGTCTGCGATTCTTGCAAATTCTTCATAGTATTGTTTGAAATTCATTAGTCCAATGAGATGGGTTTTACTTTTCGGAACCTTCCAAACTTTCCACAGATTTTCGACATACGCATTAGTATCCAAATACATACTATTTTGTGATGGAAATTCCTTGGATTTTGAGAGGAATTTCAGTGCAAATCTGGCCTGTTGTCACAAGAAAATTTGAATTTTTAGGTTTTTTTAAACAATTTTCGACACATATAGATCACATTTACCTGCAAATCGTATACATAATTATTCACACCAAATAATGGCACCTAATAAATATAGAAACTTGTAAATATAGGAAGAGATAATGAAAAAAGCTTTGAACGGTACCCCGATGAATGCCATTGTGGGATGTTCTATATTCAGAACTTGCTTGTACAAAGGATAAATAAAATTGTCATCCACTTTGATTCCGGTGTCGTTGCTTAAAAATGGAAACTTATATCTGTAACCTGAAGGTATTAGACATCGTTAGATAATTCATTGTGAGAATTTGTTCTCTTTTATTTACCTGTTGCATAGATAACTGTATCAAAAGTTTGTGATGTTCCGTTGCTAAATGCTGCTCCGTTTGGCGTGAAACATTTTACGGTAGGCTTATATGAAAAATTGGCTCCATATAACTGAAGACGTGCTTCATCCGATTCAAAGGGTCGTTGATTTGTGCTGATTGCTATTCGTTTGGCGGTTTTTGAAAGTAAACGTCCTATATCCCGTGCGCTTTTGATATACAATGATTAAAATATCACCAAATTAATAGAAGAATAGAGAATGAGAGAAAGTGATTTTATTATCTTAAACTCACCTTTCACCACTACCAATAATTAGAACTTCCTTTCCTGTTTTTATGAATCAAACAAAACAAAAATTATTAAAACAAAAAATATTGACCAAAGCAACTATATAGCGAACCGCGAAAATCGTCAGCTTTCCGGAAATCGTGACTGTGTAAGATTATCCCTTCGAATTTATCCGCATCATCAATATGTGGAGTGTATGGCCAAGAATAAAGATTAGTGCAAATAAAAACAGCATCATATGTTTTATTCTGGGTCTGTTGGGCGGGAAAAATCTTGGCATTCACTTGCCATCTATCATTTGGCAAGGAAATAATTTCCTCCACTAAATGACGTAATTTGATGTGTTCCATTAATTTGAATTTCTTAGCATAAGAGTCTATGTAGCTCCAAACGGCTTCATATGTTGGATATGACTGTGATCCTTCAGGATATTTCCATCCTGTATGGTTGTGAATTGGAAATTGTACTAACGAAAATTAATTCAGATTATTTTTTTTGTCACCTGGAAACTCCATAATTTGATGTGGAATATTCGTTCTCATTCCATGATACATCGGGCTGTGAATGGGAAATCCAAACGAGTCATTTCCAGTCTTATCCGTATAGTACCAAACACCACCAATAGCCTCGCTTTTTTCGTATATATCTACTTTGTGTCCATCTTTGAGAGCATTTCTAGCACTTACAAGGCCAGAAGGGCCCGCCCCAACGATGGCTATATCGAGTCCGTGTGCACTTATTAATCCACACAAAAGTTCCAAAAAAATGAATCGATTTTTTGTCAATGTGGCCATAATTTTACCAGAACCACGTAAAAGAAAAGTCGTTGAGAAATTCGGAGATCGATTATTTATTGTTGAAAATATTCTTCTTAGCAACTAATTTGTTGTATGAACTGACGCGATATTTATACGCTTTACGAATTTGCTTAAGCTTCAAATTATAAGTAACATTCTTGTGGCGAATAATAAAATACCAAAATGTTATACGTCGAAAACATGAAATTATTTTTTTTTTAAATTAGGTAGATGATTTACAGATGTTGCTCAAAAATTTATTATTTATGTCTGTATCTTTTATACAAAATTTCTTTCGGCATGCGTTTGGAATTGATTAGGAATAAGTAGATCAAATATTTTAGGTAATTAAAAAATTGTTTCTCTCAATTCATGGAAAAAATGTTTTTTTATTTTATTTTTTGTAGTTGAATAGGTTAACTTGGATTGGTTCGCACGTCTTCTGAATCACGACTGTTTTAACACTTTATTTAAATATCATGAGAAGCATTCATATACTTTTTAGTAAACTTTTTTTGAGTATACTTTTGTCTGTTTTTTGTGTGGGTGCGCAGATCGATTTTACACATTGTCCAAAAGATTGAAGTTCATCGGCGAGAATTTGATCAAACCATTTAATCGATTTCTAAACCTTTTAGTCGTTATTTTAAATATTCAAGCAAAGTATTACCATGATTTCAAGAGTCTAACACTCGGTTTCTAAGTTTTGTGTTAATTCTTTTTTTATTCTATAAAGTCGTTTTGTCCACATATAGCTGACAATCAAAAAGTATAAAATTCGCTCCGTTTGTGAATTTGTAAAAAGAAATAATTACCCTGCCCAAGGTGAATCTGAAACGAAATGTGAAAGTAAAAGTAACAATCATAATGTTGAAAACATTCCGTAAGCAATTTGTTGTTTTGTCACATGATTCCAAAACAATTTAATCTTCGAAATTTTGAAAATATGATAAAGTGATTTAATTATAAAGAACGATAATGAGCTCTATGTACTTAAAAAAAATGACGAAAATATAAATGTAACACAATTTGCTTGTATTTATGTAGATACATTGTTTGATTTGGCTATTAGTAACAAAAATGTTTAACAATTTTCTTTTAATTCTTTTATACTAGTTGGAAGATTCTTATCTAGATTCTTTTATACTAGTCTTTATTATTTGTCTATGTCTTGCATTCTCTCAGAAAACTCAGATGTTAAAATTCAAAGTAATCAGAGCAAAATGCCATTTTAACATGATGGTATTTTTTCACATGGTAAAATGTCATTTTACCCGCAACACATTTCTTGGCGGGTAAAACGGCATTTTAACATGTGAAAAAATATCTCCATGTTAAAATGGCATTTTGCTCTGATTACTTTGAATTTCAACACCTGAGTTTTCTGAGAGTTAATAATAATAATAATACGAATGGAAGTTATTGATTATAGTATTTTATTTCATAAATTATAGTTATTTACCTATAAACTTGTAGATACATTTCAAAAGAATAATAAAAAAATCACGAAAGTGATTGGTGGCAATAAATTTCAGTATGTTCAGGAATATAGTGCAATAAAAATGCTACGTGTATGTTGTTTTTTGTGTTTCCTTGTATAAAATCGTGCTCTTTATCACAAAATGCCTATCTAAAATACTTCTATGCTGCCCTTTCGTCGATGATCGTATACCGGTACAAACTGTTTCCCCTCACGACCAATGGCAGTTAGTGCTGCAAACCCACTGTCCGAAGGTGTTCGCACCATTTTATGACCGATCCCACGTAATCCATCAATAATACTGTCTGGAATTCCTTCTTCATATTGCAATTGCATTGGTGCAAGTTGGTGATGGAGTCGTGGTGCATGTACTGCGGTCGCAATAGATTCTTTGAAATATAAATACCGTGAAAGCACCTAAAATTGTTTACAACTTTAAATTAATTTTCATTCCAAAAAGCAAAAACCAGTAAAAAAGTCTTACATATGCAACTGAAGATGTTATTTTTGATCCACCGGCGGCGCCCAGGAGCATTTCAACATTTCGATTTTCATCCAGCAAAATTGTCGGACACATGGAAGACAATGGCATTTTTTGTGGCCGAATAAAATTGGCTGGTGACGGCGGAACGCCATATGCATTATTTTGACCAGGCACTGAAAAGTCGTCCATCCCATCATTTAAAATTATTCCAGTTCGAGAAATAATTTTGCATCCAAATCTGAAATTCAGTTGAAGTGAAAACCAGTTAATAAAAATTTTCATCGTAAAATGTTGATTAAACAATGAAAAATCATTTAAACGTACAAAGTGTTAATAGTTCCCGTAGCTGAAATTGCATCTCCATTTGATGCAATAATATTGATATGTGCAGTACCTAAGATAATCACAAAAGAAAAGAATAGAATTAATTTAAAATAATCGAAATAATCGAAAAAGAATCAATAACAATTATTAAATAATAGAAAGGCAATTTTTAAGTGAATTGCCCCTAGGCAGTACCCGAATCCTCTTTGGACGAGAAGCTAGCCCCATAGTGCTTATAGTCTTCGTAAGTCTTAAAATCTTCTATTTTTTGACGAATTTCTGCTGCGAATTTGGAATCCGTTAGGTTTTGTACGACTTTCAATGCGTCTTCAACGAAATGACCATCGCCCAGTTTTGTGCGTTCTGCGTATGCAAATTTCAAGGCTTCTGTGATTCGTTGCATTGACGTTATCGACTCTTCTTGTGGTAAATAATCATTCAGAACATTCATTATGAATGCAACCAAGGCTCCACTTCCCGGTAATGTTATACCATGGAGTGTTTTATTATCTTTTAAACCAATCGAAATTGGTTCTTCCCATCGAACATTGTACTGCTTTAAATCTTCGATGGTAACTATGCCGCCATTGTGTTGAATATCCTCCACCATTGTCCTGCCAACAGATCCATTATTATAAATCGCATCGACACCTTCTTTTTTGATAATTTCCAGTGTGTCAGCCAATTTTGATCGTTTAACAAATTCGCCTTTTCTGTATACATCGTTTGTTTTTGGATCGATGTACACTTCAGATAGAGTTGGCGATGCCAATATCACATGTTTTTTACTTTCTAAAATTCGCGACAAATATGGGCTAACCTGGTGACCTTTACGACAGAGTTCAATGACTGGATCGAATAACACCGACCAATCTAATTTTCCATATTTCTGATGCAATTCCCAATAACCCTTTAGTTCGCCTGGCACAAAAAATGAATAAATTAATTTGATTAGAAAAAAGAAAACAGTCTAATTATTTTAATGTAAACCTGGAACAGCAACGGCTTTTCCTCCTGTAACCGTTGTATTAACAAACATATCTTCAGTCGCCGCCAACGGAGCTACATCACGTGCAATCAATGTTTCCACTTTATTTTCCTGTTTTCGGAAAATTGTCATTACAAATCCACCGCCGAGGCCAGTACTTTGGGGGGATGCAACACCCTCGCAAAGTAACGCGACAATAGCTGCATCTGCTACAGAACCACCGTCTTTTAAGATTTTACTAAATTGAGATAGAAAAAGGGGGTAGTTGAAAATGCGTATGTTTTATGAATTTGATGAATACAAACCTAGTCATTGATGAACATTCCAAACCATTCGTAACGACGGCTGCTTGGTGAACAACGTCATTTTTATTGTCACGCTTCAATGTCAATACTACAGCAGAGAAAATAATAACCGCCAAAGCAGCAAGTACGGCAGCAAATAACACTTTTTTACGCACTGACAAACTAAAAAACAACGAAAAATGCAAATCTATCAGTTAGTGTTTTATTAAGAATTACGATTTAGTCAAAAGCATAATATCACGTAGGCCTGTCCCTTGATATGTATATATTCAACACTTTGACATTCAATTCCATAAAAATCACGCGAAAACGATTTTTATAAATATCACGTTCAAATCCATAAAAATGAGTACTGGTGATCAATTAAGTCAGTGAAGCGTTGAATAATTCAGACACAAATGATTCCCATGAAGGTAGGAAACCTTGACAGGAGTCATGATTATACTGCAAAAATTTGAACATTAGCTTTTAATTTGAGTATAAATTGATTGTTATCACCTCAACAAGAGTTTCATTTATTATCACTCGCAGTACCGCGTGTTAAAAAAACTCATTCACTCTTTTTCACTCTCATACATTTTTGTGAGCAACGATTACAAAGCAAGTTTAACTACAAAATTTTGAAAATATCACGATTTTGAAATCATTTTTTTTAATTACTAAGATAAAATGAACGGTAATGAACTTCATGCACTTAAATACACACGCTTATCAGCAAACAATTGAAAAAGTAATTCTCATTCAATTGTTTTCGAAAAAAAATATGGATTTCCATGTGAAAATGTTGTGAAAAAAGCCAACTGAAATTACGTAAACAAAATAATGACAAACAGAATTGTTGAGTTGAATTGTCGCAAGTCGCAACAAATGCACACTCCATAAAAATTAATTGAAATCATCAATGAAAAAATATAATTTAATTTCCGGTTTGGAGAAATGTATTTTTGGGCATTCGTATATACAAAAAGTGCACATTTCATTATTATGAAATACATATAATATTAGAATTATCTGGTAATGTTTGAACTTTGATTTACGTATTGTCTATTTTCCATATGAATTTAAGTGAATACATTTCTTTGAAATCTATTGAGTCGTAACTTTTGATGCAGAACGACCCAGTCTATTGTTAAACACGAACGAAAATCAATTGATAATGTTGCAAATAAAACTCACATCATTATAATGCCAATGTCTTGTTGGAAGTGATATTTTTTTCAATTTCAAGGAATTTATCAAATTAATTAACACTGGAATGCCACTGAATACACCTTTAAACTGCCTAAAATTAAAATTTTCAATTTATAAGCCGATATATTGATCAGCGACTTCGGGTTTGATTATACTTGAAACAAGTATACAAATTGTTGGTTGATTTTTAAAAAACAAATTTTTCACTTGGCTGATTGTGACGTTGATCACATTGCACGTGAGTGAGAGCCAACGATTTTGGATATTGAGTAAATGGTACATAAACTGTTGTACGTGTATTTGTCTATAATTATGCGTATTTGCTGTTTAAATGAATGCTATTTAAACGAAACTTATTCATGTAAACAACGGTAACGACTCAAGTGTGCATAGGTGTGCTTAAATTGTACGACAAATAATTTTTCAAATACTTGATACTAACACAAATTTGGTCATTTTATAAGTATTTCACTCTGACTTATAAATTATAATAATATAATCGAAACACTATAGCTGCTAAATCACAACCGGTTAAACGGTAACTCAAAAGTGGTTCTGATATAAAAATGTTATTTAATATTTTCGAAAATATTAGACAGCCTACAACGATGCAAATTGTATTGAGTCTGGTGTATGACTGAAATATAAACGCCGCATTTGATCGCACAGCGTGAACAAGCATATACTCGATACTACAATTGTTTCGTCTGTATTGGATTTGTTTATTACGGACAGTTGTATTTGAAATGTATTTGAACATAGAAAGCAATGATTGAAATGGAATCTGGACAACGATTAATGGGAATGTCTTGTATGTTTCTTTTGTAGTAAAGTGATTTATGGAACTAACCATACACATTATTCAGAATATATTCAGTTCGTGATAACTGTTCACAGTGCCCAATAATTGATGTTACAATGTGGTTTAAGTAGCTATTAAGTAGTCTATAAAATTATTTTTATAGAGCCAATTGTAGAGTTTTACAATATTTACGCAGAGAATAACCAGTTCACACTTTTTATCGACTAAAAAAAAATAAAAATGCTGTTTACTTTCAACAAATCTCAATTATCTAATGATATAATTTTGTTATTTAATGATATTGATAATACTTTTGATGTTTGATCAATTGACCTTACAAAATTAAGCGCGGAATTTTTTTTATTTAGCCTAATTTGTCTCATAAAATTTGATAATCAGTTACGCCAAAAAATAATCTATTTCAAGTTATCTGATCTCAACATTTGTTTTGCGTTATGGAATAGCAAATTTTACTCCAAAATCATACATATCATATAATTTTTCACTTCACATATTATAAGCAATGCTGAAAATGATCCACTAAATCTTTTCAATATTTGCAAAAAATAGGAACCTATTGTCGGTTAAGTGGTCCAAAAATTCATTTTTTATAATAATGCTTTAATTACTCATCACTCAGATGAAAATATTTTGAAAAAGAAAACGTCCGCTCCATAGATTTTTCACTCAAAATCAATATTTTCCATTTAATAGAATGGAAATTACCCACAAAAAAATTATTGTAAAAACAAAGTGAATAAATACTTACACTATTTTAGCCATATTTCTTGTAATATTCTAAAATTCAAAAGAAAAGTCACAATAATGATCTTTAGATCGTTGATAAGGAGTTCCCCGTGAACGACGCTAGATGAATGAAGTAAATGCATGAAGTGACAAATATATCAGCACTTTTTGTCTGGCTTTTATTGTAATATTGATAAGTTATCTTTATTGAATCGCTGGTAGAGAATGAGAGTGAAGAGCATCTTACAAAGAAAGAATTTTTATCATTAATTACTTTAAAAATTATCATTCAAAATTGGTCGTGCACATTTTCTGGTAAGATCGTAAATAATTCATTGCGGGCAGATACCATCTACGTATTTTATCGAATCAATCAAAAGAGGCAGTGATTTATCTTTGAAGTGTCGAAATCGGTTTATTTGCAATTGATAAAAAATGAATTAAAAGTTAATTTAATGTTTTAATGACATTTGGAAATTCCGATTAACACACGTAGTTTATTTCATTGTTATATATTGTATATAAACCTGTTATCAGGTTTTACCAAAATCATTATGGAAATGCCAAACTTACCCTTAGACCTTAAAACTATATCTCAACATGTTTTGAAATGAGTGTGCTGTTGATGTTTCATCTTCGAAAAAAAAATAATAAATTCTTTATTATTAGAAGTGAGCTCGTTGATCAAAGAGAAGTAAAAATGATCACCTAATTCCGTCTGCATATGTTTAAGCGATAGACGCGTCGTCATACATAAGTAGAACAAATCCCAAATAGATATGTCTGGTAGGCTGAAATTTGTGTCATTCGCATGCATAGTAAAATAAAGGAATGCAATGATTTCACTTTTATTGATTTGAAACGCAGGTAAAGAAACATCGTAAAAAGGGACTAAGGCGATGAAGCGAGCGAACAAAACAGAAAAAATAAGAAAAATATATATAAAACGAATTAAATTCAATAGATATGGTATGGCCTATAGGTGTGCATTGAATGCAACGAACTACAAGTGCATCATCATCATCATCATCAACAACAACATCTTCACCTGCATGAAATTTAAAGTCCGATTTAGGGTTTCGTTATGTATTCAGAGTGTAGAAAAATACAATGTTCTTTTTTCGAGTTACAAAAATGAAAAGAGGAATTTTTGAATCTCCCCTAAAGTAAACTAAAATACAACAAAAACAACTAATTGAACGGCAAGCTGCATAAAAATGTATGCGATTGAAATTTGGACCTGACTCGACGATGCATTTAGTGATGTGTGTCTGTATTTGTGTGTGCTTGTGATGCCGATTCCGATGCCTAAGAGACGCACACGATCGCAATCGTACCATTTTTTTTCTTTTCGAATGCACTTGTATTGGTTGTCGGTTGAGCGGTGCACATGTATGAGTGCGAGACAGAAATGTGAACATGTGTTGGAATGTGCTTCGCTGTCAATTCAAACACAATACACAACATGCGGGCCAAATATCGAAGCAGCATAGATACGAATGAGTGAGGAAAAAAAATACGTAACGACAGAAAAATTGAACCGCAAATTTTTATTTTTAAAACTTGGATAAAGCACCAATACAACCGCATCGCAAGCCTTCGCATGTGTTGGTATGTATGGTAGAGAGAAAGAGAGAGCGACATTGTCGACGGTTGGCGAAGCAACATACGAGCGGATAACGAGTGACCGGTGGCATAAAGGCTGGTTTCCAATTGAATGAATTGTTAAAATCGTAATTCGGTTTAAAATTCTTCTTTTTTTTCTACTCTCGTTCGCTTCAACGTTCGTTCGTTCGCATTGAATCGTTTTCAAGTGTGCATGAACCGAATGTGTCGTCGACATTGTGGAACGATTCAGTTGAAAGCAATTATTGTGGCTACGGTGCTATGCATTTGTATTGGTAGCACACATATTTTTTTTTTCTTTTTTTCATTTAAATGTATTTGAAGATGGATGGAAGCGAAACTAACGAAGACGACTAAAGCGCAAATGGAATGAGAACACAACCAGCAAAATATATACAGCAGAGCAAAAAAAAAAGAAAGAAGAACATATAAAAAGCCAATGCAAATTTTTATTGATTGATACGACGAACAAAATGGGAAAAAAATGGAACATGCGGAGCGGGAAGGAGGCCGCACCAAATTATATATGCAAGCGATGTTGTAATGGTAAAAATGAGTCGTTGGCTTCATGTACAAGCGAGATAGCGTCAGAGAATTTTTCGTTAATGGTATTTGTGTCATTTTATTTTGCCTTATATATAAATAATTTTTCCCTGCGAACAATACAAGCTGAGCTCTCGTTTCTCTCAACCTTTTTTCTTGTCTACATTCACTGCATTGTAGACTATTTTAACTGAGAATCGCATTTTAATTACACACTCTGTATTATACAGCGCGAAAAAAAATGAGCGTACAAAGTAAAAAATTATGTAAAATATGTAGAGAAAAAAAAAGAGAATCGTAGCAACGAGCCGAATCGTTGATGGTGACGACGACAAAGACATAGACGATTAAACGATTTGTATGTGTGCATTGAAATGCCCAGGGTAAAATAATTAATTCGCAGAGACGCGCAAGTTTTTTTTCTCGTTCTCGCCTCATTTCGGCTTGAGTTCCTTTTTTCGTTTTGCTAATGTATTTTATGGCATTCTTTTTTTTCTGTATTTCGTCGGTCGCTTGGTTGTTAAAGTGGTATGAGCCAAGCACTGTTTTGTGATTGTATTGGTGAGAAAAAAATATTTCATTTTTGAAGAGACAAAGCAACTCACTCACCACACACCAGTACACTAAAACGTAAACCATTCTCAGGCATAAATACAGAGAGCAAGAATGTTCCCTC